GTGTGGTGCCTGCTCATGGCAGGTGGGGTGGAACTAGATGATCTTAAGGTCCTTTCCAACCCTAACTATTCTATGATTCTATGATCTTAAAGGTCTTTTCCAACCTAGCCGATTTCATGATATAGAAATGATACCATGCACAGAGCAGTTCCCTGCTGGAGAAATGGAGCTGGAGAGGATAACAGCCAATGTCAGCAAGGGAAACTGGTTTTATTATTGCCCTTTTGTATCCTGTCTCCTGGAAAACTATGATTTTGGGAGGTGATGCTGTGGGCTCTGCCCCGGCTGCAGGTGAGTGGGAATAGCGCTGGCAAACTCAGCAGGTAAACCAGAGCCCCTGGAGCAGGCAAAGCTAGAGCATGGCTGGGGATAACCCATTCCTCAGGCAAGCACCAGGCAGGTCCATGCTGCTGCTCCGGACCAGCCCCATCCCTGGGTGGCTTGTTTAAAATGCACACTGTATCCTAAACCACCCTACCAGAGGTGCTGCAGGAGCTCAGACACAAACCCTGTGGTTTTTCCTAAAGCACAAAAGTTTCTTTACCACCTTCCCAGGCAAACAGAGCTGGGGCTGAGGATGCTCTGGCCAGGCAGGATTTGTGCCCTGCAATCCCCTGTCCTCCTTCAAGGCTGCATGAGGAGCTCAACTGCAAACCCTGCTCTCTACAAGCCCCACAAGCCCATGGTGCAACTCTCTTCCTTGAATCCTGGCATCCACCCTCACGAGCCAGGGACCAGCACAGGTCCCTGAGGGCTCTCCGGCCAGGCCCAGCTCCGGTAGGCAGCATTTAAGCTTTGTTGCAAAATCAACCCATCAGCGTTGGGGACTGCCCAGAGCTAACACAAAGCCACCTCTATTTCTGCCCGAAAACAAGCTCTTTCAGTCAATCCCAGCAGTTCTATTATACAGTCGCGGGGCTGTTGTCAGAGCCGAGTTCCAAATCCCCTGCACGGACCTCGGGACCACCTACATTTAACCACCGTGATATTTGAGCTGTAATTCCACTTGACACTGCTCCTTTGTTCTGGGAAAGTGCAGGAGTGGGAATATGTTTCATTAACGCGCCGCTGGTGCAGTTTCCATTCTCTAAGCACGAGAGCCAACTCCCACTGCCCCAGCCCATGCACAGAGAGCACAGCAATTGTCTTCCCGTGGTGGTGGGACAGGAGACAGGCGTGTGGCCATACTGGTCACCTACAGACAGCAGAAAATACAGCAGCAATTGTCCACACGAGGAATTTGGCTACATGGAGGCAACGGTTACCCCATAGGGACAGCAGCTCTAGGGTGGGAAGGATGAGAGAAAAGGGATAAAAGTAGTGTTGAGGCTAGAGAGAATGATGAGAAAAATGGGTCAAACCTGGAGGGGGCCAAACCAACATCTCTCCCATGGTGGGCTTCCACAGCTGTAAGAAGTTACCTGTGGATGTGATGGACCCACAAAGGATAGATGGGAGCTACCAGAGGCTTTTTGATGCCTTTGTGATAGCTGAAATCCCATCAAGGTAAATTAAGCCAGACTTCAGGGCTTGTTTCCAAGCAGTGTGGAGAAGGTGCTGGGGATGCATCCTGCCCTGCTGCTGCACAACTGACCTGACTGACCTTGTGCATCTCTTCTTGCCCTTTCCTCCATGACCCAGGTTCCCTCAGCCGCAGCAGAAGTCATAGTGCAGACCAGCCCCCACTCTCCTCCCTGGCTCTCAGGGCACTGCTGCCTGGCTCTGTCACCCAACGGCACCCAATGGTCCTGCCCCTGGCACCCACTGGTTCAGGTCCAGCAGTGCTGCTGGTCAAGCTCCAAATCTGGAGACCCTCAGATTTGCTTGTACCATCACAGGGTGATGGAAAGCTTCAGGAAGAGCCTTCTCACCCCCAGCTCCACTGCAGCTCTGCTGGAGCTGAGAACAAAGCACTCAAGTGGGTAAGACCCTGTCCCTGGCAGACCTGCACCAGGGCTTTGCAAGGTATGGATTAACACCTCCAAAGCCTGAAGGCCACAGGAATTTCCTCTGTTGCTTTAGACAGCAGTGGTCTCCTATAGCAAGCTGCAAGGAGACCACATCAGGTTCAGCTCCTTTGACCAGACCTGTCTCTACCTCCAGGTGAGTTCACCCAGCAGCGCTGGCACCATGTCCTGTGTCCTACCAACAACCCTCGAGTTTAGGGTCACAAAGATCACAGCTGCCCTGAGCCCCTCCTCCAGCCATGGTGAACAGTGAGGACCACCAGTGCCCTCCGCTGCATGGTCCATCAGGACCAAGAACTCTGCCCACAGATCCCCCAGGCCATGGGGAAGGTTCATGAGGACCAGGTCACACTCTGGAGAGGGGCTTTGGACAAGGGCCTGTAGGGACAGGACAAGGGGAATGGCTTTAACCTGCCAGAGGGGAGATTGAGATGAGCTGAGGCAGAAGCTCTTCCCTGTGAGGGTGCTGAGGCGCTGGCACAGGGTGCCCAGAGAAGCTGTGGCTGCCCCATCCCTGGCAGTGTTCAAGGCCAGGTTGGACACAGGGGCTTGGAGCAACCTGGTCTAGTGGAAGGTGTCCCTGCTCGTGGCAGGGGTTGGAACTGGATGAGCTTTAAGGTCCCTTCAACCCAAACCATTGTACGATTCTCTGAATCCCATTCCTCCAAGAATGAGGTTTCACCAATTCAAAAGAGCAAAGGCTTCTGCTCCCACATCTATTAGACAAGCTCTCAAGCAGATAATTGCATTATTAATGCCCACTTCCCATCCTTGTCTCCGTGGCTATAATGGGTTTCTACATATCTATCTTTCCAGAGATGGTGAACAGATCTGAACTCATCACCTGCATTATGGCCAAGCAGATACACTCCTAATAGATTTCATGCCACTTGTGCCAATAAAGGTTAGCTCTGAACTTCTCTGAGGTCTGTGAAGGCCAGGTCGCTTAGAGGATGCTCAGAAACTTTGTCTAAATTCAGTGGGTAAGTTTTTCCACTGATGAAGCAGCAGGACCTAGGGTGGCTTTTAGCCTAACATCTAAAGCTCTAGTCAATGATCAGTCTCCTTCCCAGACAGTCTGTCATCATTTAGCCAGAACTTCATTGCACAATAATTTTTGTAGTCTCAGTGCTTGAAAATCCTCCCCACTGGTTTCATATGTGGAAACACAAACGGAGCCAGTGGCGTTACAGCATCTCTATTTGGAGGACTGCAATAGGACATGAACTATGGCTCATTTCCAGCACTGAGTTCTTTAAGAGTTAAAAATAGAGGCTGACTGTTCAAAGCCAGCCGCTCACCCCGCACGCTCCAGCGGCTCTTTGCTGATGTGGAAAGCACCAGCCCCCCTTATGGCGAAGTACAAATAATCATCAGGTCCTCTTTCACCAAAAGAGGATGGTCACTGCTCCCCACCCCAACAGCAGTTGGGGAAACCTCACCCAGCCCTGCAAAGGTGGGTCCCAGCACCAGAGCAGCCATCCTGGACCCTCAGCACCCCATCCTGAGCTCTGGGAAGAGGAGGCAGAGCCCTCAGTCTGCAAAGCCCTGCCTGCCCCATAGCCCTGCCCCTGGTGGGTCCCAGCACCCTGCCCCTCCAAAACCTCCCCAGCCAGGGCAGCGACCCTCTTGCACTTCCCATGATGCCAGGGCCGAAAAGCTTGGATGCATAACGCCCCAACAGACAGAACCCATTCCAGGGTGTGCAAGACCTCCAATAGACCCACATTATTCATCCCCTTTTCCCTTCACTGAGCCACACAGGAGCCAGGTCCCTGGCTCTCCTGCTTCGGTCCCCAAGACTGAGCTCATTTCCACCATAGAATCACAGAATAGTTACGGTTGGAAAGGACCTCAAGATCATCTAGTTCCAACCCCCCTCTCCTCCGCTTGAAAGCCCTCTCCCCACTGACGACAGCCCCATGGATCAACCCCCACTTACCGGCAAGGATTTGGAAGATTCCAGTAATGTAAAACCGCCCGCCCTTGGTGAGGGTGAACAGTTGGCAAAAGAACAGGAACAGGGACAAGACGCTGAAGATGATGGAGAGGATCATCATTGCTTGGACAGACTGCAGCCATTCTGGGGAGAGACAGACGGAAACCTCAGTGCAGGCATCACAGTTGATGAGCCCTCACCACAGCCTATGGCCTCAGCATCATCCCCCCACCAATATCCCACCCCGGTTTCCATGAAGTTTCCTATCAGCTGGGAGATGTGGCCACATCCAGCGCTGCATCAGCTGGTGAGGTCCTCAGCATGGGCATGATGCTGTGTGGGATTTAGAATGATGTGTGCATGGACCAGAGTGCTGGGATAAAATGAATTGCATGGCCACGCTCTGTTCTCAGCATTTATAATCAAACATGAGCAGAGATCCCAGCCCTGACCTGAAGCCTGCAGAAACCAAGACAAAGCCTCTCCCCCAGCTTCACGTCAGGCCTGGGGAGTTCAGCTGCTCTAGAAACACACAAGCCATGTGCAACAAGCCATGAGACATGGAGCGGGCCAGGCTGCGAGCTAAAATAAACACACAGGGAGTGAAAACACCCTCTGCCCTTGCAGAGTCAAACCTTTGAGAGCGAGCCTTCCCCAGCTGCCAAAGAGCAGCTCAACCAGCCCGGCGTGAGTCACTGCCCAGCTATTTCCAGGCTCTGTGGGTGTGGAACTCCCCTCGTAAAATAAGATAAATAAACAAGCAAAATGCTGCTCCATCCCATGAGCTGCTGCAGCCCGACAGAACACGGCAGTGCCTCGCAGCGCCAGGATGGGCCATGCACACAAATGCCTCTGCCTTTCTCTTTCCTTTTAAAGTTTGAGATGAAAATGAGTATTTGCAGCCTTCTTAGAGAGGTCTTTAAGGATGCAACGTGGATTAATTCACCAAGAAACCTGGCAGGACTTGGTACAGGTAAACCAAGGCACAAAGCACCCAGTGAAAGGCATGAAGATCGTGCTTTGAGCTGGATCTGCAGACAGGGGAGAATCGGGCAGCACTGAAGCATCAGTTCCAATCCCACATTCCTGCCGCAGTCTTATTCCCACCATCTTCCTTCTCCTGACTGCACACTGCAAGAGCCACCAGCTTTCTGCAGCAAACAGCTGAAACCCAGCAGAACTTCCAACTAAAGGTATCCTTCAGCTTAACAGCCTCCAATGAGGCCATTTGGGACTGCCCAGAGCAGCACTGCTCCCAGAGAGCTGGTGACACATCCCACCACAACCTCACAAGCCATTCTCATGGAGAACTGGATACAGAAAGTGAGGTACAGCCTTCAGCTGGAACGGGAATGATGATCCATGCCTGAGGCTTTCCAGCAAATCCATGCCTGCGGGGAACATCCTGTGCAATTTAGTAATGTCTGGCGTGTTTGGCTGTGGACCATCAATTCTACCTCTCGTCTTTGCATCTTGCCTCTGGACATTCATGCAATGGAGCTGAATTTGCTCACCAAAGCAGACTGAAACCGCCCAGAGCAGCCTCTGCTCGTTGCAGACAGCTTTTCCCTTCCCTTCCTTTTCCCACTTCCCATGCCAATCTACCCAGCAGCATTAATGGGTCCTGCTAAAGAGCTGCTGCACTTCACTGATTTACAGTGCTGCCGAGTGATTACATCCATGTGCACCAGTTGCTCCTGTTCCTTAGGAAGGAGCAGCTACCACTGCTGTCGCTTCCAGGAAATCCCAGTGTAATTTTCACACAGTGGGCACACAAGATATCCCATATATTGCATCCCTACGAGCCAGGCAGGAAAACCCCCTGTTCCTTCAGTGCTAAACCACTGGGCAACAGAGGGGATGAGGTAGCCCAAGTGCTGCTAAAGATCAAGTCATAAACCATTGCTCAGATGGGATTGGAGAAATACAATTAGACAATGTCCAGCTGCTGAACTGCAATCTCCTTCCACACTTCAGCACAGAAAGGGCTCCCATCCCAGGTCTGAGAAGCTGAGTTTTCATCTCACCCCATCCCAAGCCCTAAAGCCATGTCCAGCTCCACGCAGCGGCTGAGCCAAAGCCTGCCCAGCCACAAGCCCTGCAGTTTGGTCCAGGACCCAGGAAGCCAAGTCTTTTGTGATTTCAAAGGCCACAGGATCCGGCCCGGAGAGGAGCCCTTTCTGGTCGGAGGTGGATGCTCCAATTGCCGGTTATTTTAGGAGAAGTCTGTCTAGACGGAAAGCTGAGCTGAGCTGCCCTTTTAATTGCTTCCGCCTCCTCGTGCCTCCTTTTTGGTTCTGAATGCAAATGATTTATCCAGGCTTTGCAAAATCCCATTGTCATAAAGAGCCGTGTCAGAGGAACATAAAGGCAGGCACTGAGAGGCAGGGAAGAGCTCGCTGTGACCGGAGGGCTTTCGGCAGGCAGCCACCCTGCTGCAGCCAGAGAGCAGCAGCCACACGAGCAGGGAAATCAAGAGATGACTCCATAGACCAGAGACTCTCTGCTCACATCCAGCCCTTTGCTTACTTCTATTGGCCTCCTGTGTAAAAGCAAGCCCCAGCTCATAACTCAAGAGGCCAACAAGTGCAAGCTGCCGTACTCCCATTAATCCAAGCCCAGCTACCCACAGACTTCAGCTGTATTAGCTAATTGCCTTTAATTCATTTGAGAACAGCACTATAACTGCAGATAGGATTGCTGCTTTTAACTCCTTTGCTGTTAGTGTCGTATCCTACCTATAGGCTTCTTCCCTTCTCACAAGGAGGTGTGTGCCCTGTTAGTTGTACCACGGGGCTGTCAGCACTGTTTGCTCCCAGGCTGTTATTTGTGGTTTCCCCTGGGCAGCGCGTCGGTTGTTCCATTTTTCTCCTGCATCTCTTCTGCCCTGTGTTTATATCTTTGTTCTTCAAGAGGAAGAAGAAAAGGAAGCAGAGTGGAAAGGACAGATAACGCCCTGCACGCCGCTTCCGGAGAGGACCCGTTGGGAGTGTTTCTAGAGCCATTTCAGGCCATTAGAAACAAAGAAAGATGGTATTACAGAACAAATTTGACATTTTCCCTAAACTTTGCAAGCCCTGGTGGGCTCATGCCACCACTTACAACAGCAGAGAAACGGCTTCAGCCCTGGGATGTCAGAAACCACATTTCACTGCCCTGAAGTCTAACACGGAAGAAAGAAACCTAGAGCAGAAGTTGAAACTTAGAGCAGAAATTGAAACTTACAGCAGAAATTGAAACTTAGAGCAGAAATTGCAGCTGAACCCCCCCAAATGGCAGTAGCCCTTCCAGCAAAGCCCCAGCCCTGCTTGCACAGAGGTTTTATACCAGGACAAGGGATACAGCTGAGCAGACATTGGCTCCCCACTGTTTAATTCACTGCTCTGTCATAGACACCCTATCTTCTTTTGGCTCAAGCCAAGGAGAATGAATATAGTACAAACTGAAAAGAAACTTATTTGAGCAACTGGCTTACAGACTCCACTAAATTAATGCTATGCATTAAAAACACCTCTGTGCTGTGACCTGCCGCTGATGGTAACATTCTGCACATGTAGCTTTCCCTTTGCAAACCACGTATGAGTGTACACTTAAAAAGCAACCACTTCTTGGGAAGAAAACATCCACTAAGGAGATAACTGTAATAGGTAATATATACAGAACAAGAGGGAAGAGAAATTAATGGTCACATCTGCATGGTAAAAACTGCCAACTAAGTAACAGCAGGGTCAGGAACAGCACATACATCTGCTGGCACAAAGGTACCAGCCCAGGTCTGCCATGGGTTTTGAGCAGGGCTTTTCCAGAGGAGGCTCTTGGGCCTCAAGGTCTGATCAAGAACCTGAGCAGCGCATCCTCACCATGAAGTGGACAGGTCACATCACAAGTGCTGGGGCTTGTAACCATTTTAAACCTCGATATTCAAACAGCCCTTAAGAGGGTTGGAAAAGGGGCAAACTGAAGATGCAGAAACAGTATCTCAATTGCATCGTTCTTCTGGGGCTGAACTTCAGACCATTGCCCCTTGGCAACTCGCTGCAGCAGCTCCAAGTCAAAACAGCTCAGCTACCTGCAATGTTATTCCTGGTGGCACAGACCCCACCACCACCACCCACAGCCCCATTACTTGAAGTGAGCATCTCTCCTGTTGGGGAGAACAGCGTCACAGTTCATCAGCCACATCCAGCAGAGCTGCTAAGCTCTCCTTCAGAAAATCCAGCTCCATGACATTGCAACTTCCTTCTGCTTTGGTCCCAGACCTCCCACCAGTATGAAGTCAAACCTTCCCCGGCTGTGTTCCGAGCTGCTGGATGCTTGAGCCAGGAAAAGCAGGTTTTACACCCAATAGTTGCTGCTTTCCTATCCTCCTATGTACACTCCCTGGACAGGGTGTTGGATTGAGGTATTCCTGGAAATCCCACGAGAAAAGGGGGATTTTAAAGAGCTCCCAAGGTGTTTGTAATGGCCAAGGGATGAGCACGTGGGAAACACCATGGTTGCAGGGAGGCTGCGAATGAACACAATGCTGCAGTTCCTGCACAAGACTTCCTGGTCCTCGTCTGTAGCTCCTTCAGAAGATGAAGCCCCCACAGCCCTCTTTTGTCCTCTTTTCCTCTCAGCTGTCCTTCCTCTTGCCTTCTCCTTGAAGCTCCATTCAAGAAGTCCCTGAGGCCAGGAGGTCTGTAGCTCTCCAGAGCTGCCATATTCAGATGTCCCATCAGACCATCGAAGCTCATGTCCCACAGAGATAACCTCTGATGCTGCCAAGGCAGCAGAAAGCTGCTGGCACCATGAAGAACATCTTCCAACAGCTCCGCAATGCCCAAGGCAGCTCCTCTCCAAGACCCTCAGCGTGGTGGCTCCTTTTGGCTTGTGTATCAGAGCAAGTTGAGATGGTAGATACATCATTCCAGGCTCAGGTCCTCCAAAGGGCTGACGTACCAACTCCCACCAATTTCAGGTCCAGGCACCAGGAGCAGGGATGGGGAGCGGTGGTGCCCTGACACATTGCAGGCGTACACCCAGCCATGGGGACACCCAAGAGTCTCAGCAAGGCCAAAACCAATGTTGGTTTTCCAGCACTGCACTCTGCAGTTGACTCCCTCACCTATTCGCCTGGTTTTGTAGTCATCGCTTGCCCACATGTTGCCTTCTTCCCCCCTTTTTCCTCCTCTTCTATAGGCCAAAGCTCCTCACCCAGCAGGGAAGGTTGCCTGACCCCCTGTATACAGAACAACGGGAGCCAAATTGCTCTGGAGCAGCTGAGAAAAACACAGCACTAGTTCCCTACTTCTCCTTATCAGATGCTCTTTGTAAGAGGAACAAGCAACAATCAAAACCTGGGTTTAAACAGAGGAAATCCCTTTCATACCGTAGGCAATATAGTAATGGGAGACACTGATCTGAAATACAGCAAGTTAAATGCCATCTTCATCTCGCCATACCTTTTCTAGGTCATTCAAGTCCAGCATTGCTGGAAAGAAAAGAGTCTGAAAGAATAAGGGCAGCAAAGGCACACTGGGGGCACAGACAGAGCAAAAGCAATGGGTTCAGATGTTTCAGTTATGCATTTTAAAGTGGGGAGGAAGCAGTGCAGTTCCTTCAGGGAACAGATGCTGCTGCCTCATGCCAAGGATGAAGAACTTTACTACCTCCTCCAGCAGCAAGAAATGGATTTCAAGCACCAGCAGTGCTGCTTAGGGTCCCATCTGCCAGAGCAAAGATGCTCTTGAAGATGGACAGGCAGTGTGCAGGGGAACAGGGCAATCCTCTGGTGCCTGTCCCATCAATGAGATCCACCCCTATCTGCCCAGTCAGTCCAGGACACATCTCTGCTTTGGGTGACCCACCTGGGTTTTGCTTGTGGCCATCACATCACCAAATTAATGGGTGCACCACATACCAGAGTGCTTAGTAATCATGTGGACTGGCAGCCTGAGCATTTCCCGAGGTTTAGGGCTTTCTTTTCCCTTTAAAAAAGCCCAAAACTACCAGCCTGTCTGTAACCAAGCCAGTCAGGAGAAAGCCACAGGGCAGTGACAGAAGAAGCTGTAAGAAGACACAGGAAAAACATCTTCTGATGTTACAGAAGGATGGAGGGATCTCCACAGAAGTTCCCATTGCTTCCCCACCAAAATCAGAGGAAGAGCAGTACAAAGTAGCAGGAAAAAACTCTTGCCTGCATAAAAAATTCATTTGTGGGAAGAAAAGGCCATTTTTAGAGGAAAAATACAAAAATCACTGTCTGGAAATTTGGGGTGGAATCTACTCCAAAGCACTCGAGCGGCTCAGGTCCGGCCGCATGCCCCATGTCGCAGCGGGCTCACACAGCTGGGGGCTGGCACACAGCCCTGCCGACGCACAATCCCGGGATTCAGAGCTGGATTCTTCAGATAAGTCTTTTCCAGGAATGTCTGACAGCGCAAACGGAGCAAAGATTGCAACATTTTTTCCATAGTTCTCAGCCTCTTGGGGAAAAAAAAAGGCATTATCTAACAGGCAAAGGCAGAAATCAAAGCAACAAGCAGGCAGTTGTGAAAGGCAAAGAAGTGGGCAGTGGCCCCCGACCTGGTGTTTCCTCCTCCTTCCCTGTGCTCACACCCCTCCGGAGTGCTCAGCCCTAAGCAGGGTCAAACCCTGCCAAGAGGAATTTGGGAGGTGGGAGCTCAGCCGACACCGAGGCCGGCTCCACCCTGTACCCAAGGTCAGCTAATGTCCCGGGAATCCACGGTCTAAATCAGTCCTTGGGTTGTTTTGCTGCTTATTCCATCCCCATGGGATAGTTGGTAAGGTTAGAAGCACAATCCCAAACCTGCCCCAGTGTTAAATACAAGCAAATCTTGTGTTTAACACTGGGACCTGCTTTTAGCCACTTCAGCTTCTTGTTGGGCATCCACATGACAGTCATCTCAACAAAGGGGTCCCTCTGTGGCAGTAGAGCAAAAGGAATCCATCCATCCATCCATCCTCATTGTGTTCAGACCAAGGGGAGCATCACAGCACCACAACCCCCCCTCAAAGCCTCTATGCATCCCAAACACAGAAGACCCAGCCCTACCGAATTCCACATACTCCAAGCACCGCTCCTCTTGAAAAAGAGAGGAAGAAATAACTGCACTACAGCAGCCACTGCAATGGCCAGAAGAAAAACTGCCTCTACGTAAAGACCAAGTTCTGCCAAAACTCCCCAAGGAGGATTTCTTGCTCTTAGCCCGCAGAAGACCTTGGCACTCTGTGTTTAACCGTTAAGTACCGTCCTTGGCTCCAGCACAGAGGAACAAATTCCTACTGCTTTCTACAACGCAGTGTAGCAAAACACAGCCTGTGTTTTGAACAAGATTGAAATGAGAACAGTTTGTGGGATTTGGTATAGGATGTTTCATGTTTCTGAAAGTAAGCATATTCCCAGCAAAGAGTATAATAAGGATGAGGCAGGGGACAAGCATGAGCCTTGGAGGTTGCTCTGCCACAGCATCCTTGCCCCATGTCCTTGCTATTGCTCCAAATACTGCCTGACTGCAGCGGACTGACAGCACAGGAGTGGTGGGAGTAAGAGGGTCGGACATGGGCATGCAGAGGGAAGGTGGTGGGATCCACTGGAAGAGATGCTGCTTGGCATTTCTGCTCTGCTTTTACAAACAGGTTGTAAAGGCCCTGCATAAGCCTAGGAAATAGATTTTGATTTTGTGTTCCTACAGCACCAGTGAGCCCTGGATCCCACATCCAAGGTCCCACCAGACGGAGACTGGTCCTCAGCAGCACTGCTCCCACACCCCTGCCATGGGGTGGATGGGGCACAAGGTTTTGCCCAAGCAAAGCCCTCTTCTGATGCCAGAGCAGAGCCTTCACAGGGATCAGAGCTGTCAGAGAGCTCTAAGACTTGAGCACAACGTGCCTCCACTCAAAAAGCAGCACCTTATCAACCATACTCAGCTGCTCGACTGCATTTTCAGCAGGGTCATTTTGACTATAATCCCCTTAATGATAAGAAATCACCACTGGAAAGGATCCAGAGGGAAGCCCCTCTTTGAGGAGCTTCTGGAATCATGGGAATACAGACTTGCAGCACCCAGCAGGACAGTCAGACATGGAAGAAACCATCCCAACCACGTGTTGACACTGACAACTCCTGGACACAGAGCATCCTGTAAACACCGAGAAAAAACGGTGCAGGTTTGAAAAGCCAAAGATTTGGGGAGGCTTTAGAGCCCTCAGCTCTGGGACTCTGGGGTGCAATCACTGCTTTTTATTCCAAAGCGCAAGGTCAGCAGATTTTGCGCACACATGACTGGCTGTGAAGCAGCCTGCCTACGCTGCAGATAGCCAGCAACTGCTGATGAAGGACATGGCTCCAGAAGGCTCCTCGGTTGGGATGGGATCCAGCCAGCTCCTGGCCAGCCTGGACACCACCAGGCGTCAGCAGAGACCCGCGGCGGAAGCTTTGCTCCCACCGAAAACCAAAGCCTGGGCCCAAGCAGGGAAACACAGCACAGCTCACAGCGCAGGGAAGAGGGAGACTGAGCACCAGCATCCACCTCCCTGCGTGCGGTGTTTTGCTCCCAACAGGCTGGGGATGAGGGTGACATAAAACTCCAACAGCCTCCTACAATCTCCCATCGCTGCTAGACCCTTTGTCAGCATTTAGTGCTCTCGGTGTGACTATTCCTTCCTTGCCAAGACCACGTGGCATCGGTTTGCTCCTGCGCCAGGACCATGTTTCCGGCATAGGGTGACTGTGCTCCCAGTGACAGGCGTGTGATTCACAGCGGGTTTCACTGGGACAATCTGATCCATAGGAAAGCCAAACCCAGGCTAACTGAAAACAAATGGACATGACACCACTGGCAAGAGCCCTGTCTTCTGGGGAAACTGAGGCACGGGCTTGTCTGACTCCCTGAGCACAGATTTCTTGTTACTGGTGCCACTGGGTGCCCTGGAAACTCTGTGTCACAATGTCTTAGCAAGCACCCCTCCCCTGCTGACCTCAGCAAACAGCTTGATGGGTGATGTCACATCACCCTTCACCGAGCTTGGTCCAGAGGTGGCTGTTCAGCCACTCCAGATGTGCAGGTGCCATAGGGGGTCTTTCAGCAATGGGATGAAGGGCTTGAGCACTCAGCACATCTAACACATAGTATGTGACAGCGACCCACAGGGTGAGGATTGTGCCCAAAAACTCAGCAGGTCACAGCAGTCAAAAGCAGGGCAGCTTTCAAGATAGGGTACAGGGTGTCCTCCAGAGACAGGCTGTCCATGGGGCATCATATACATCTTTAAAACATCCTCACAACCAGAGCAATAGGGAAGCATGCTGAAAATGGCCCCTCTGCTCCTAGCAGGGCACCCAGCGAGCCCTGCTCCAAGGATGCAAATCCAAATGCAGCCAATATGGGCTAATAACAGGAGACTACCCAAAAGAGCTTGAGTTACCTCCACCCTGCCACAGTGCTTCCAGGGGCTGCCCCACAGCTTGAGGGAAGCAGGGCAGAGTGATGGGCACTGGATCTGGTACCTATATCAAGCCCCATCGCAACTTCAGGGACTGATAAGGCTGGGGAGAGCCACCCTCAGTCCCCCCATCAGGAGCATGGTGGAGCCCTGCCCCTCCATCTGGGAACAGAGCAGAGGAGGCAAAGGAAGGGGTGGGAGGGAACAACTTCAGGAGGGTGCAGGGAAAAGCAAGAAGGACTCACAACAAATCTACACAGGCAAATGCCCCTTGATTCCATGTCTGGGGAGGAGAATAACGCAACAGGCAGCAACACCCCTGATTGCCAGGGAGCACTCACCGTTCGTGGACGATGTCAGGCAGTGGAAGATGGTACCAGAGGTGCAGTTCTGCCAGAGATCCGCCGTGTGTCCGCCATTCACCAGCCATTGCTGCAAGAGAGACACAGCCCCATGAGCAGGGCTGGGGCAGGAGGCAACAGGACCCCCCCAGGGCTTCAACACCGGCACGTGTGTGCCTGGCCAGGCACTCCCAGGCATATGCTCTTCTTTAGAAAGGGGCTTGGAAAGTACATCCTGATATTTGCTTTTAGCTGCTTTCGCCTCAACGGCGCTAAAACAGAAGCTCTTTATTCTCTTTACGCATGGACCAAGTCCCGCGGGGAACACGCACTTCCCTCCCCTCTGCCTTCCCTCCCCTCTGCTGTCCTCGCCCGGAGCCCGGCCGGGTTATTTGAATGCTTCCACGTGATTTCCAATGACTTGGAAGATTCTTGTAACGGCTCCTACTGCTGTTAGCACCACCCCAAAGGGAAAATAAAATACAGGGGAAAAACGACCTGGTGAAGCAAGTCTGGAACTCGCCAGCTCCACAAAACTGCTGCCTTAAAACCAAGTCAACCCCCTTCCTAACTAGATGACGTGGTAACTACGCTCTAGATCCAGAACAGTGCCAGGAGCTCTCTGTGCAGCATCCAGCCCTCAATCTTCCACTCACGTAAAGCTTAAGCCTTGAAAATCGCCAGCAGGAGCCCATAGGGGTTAAGAGGCAGAGGCTGTGCCTAATGCACAGCCCCAAAGGAGCAGAGCTGGGGGGCAAACCCAGTGGTCCTGAGGAGCCAGCACCCAAATTAGCCCCGTTTCAAAGGGTATTATTGCTCAGACTGGGGGCACCGGTGCAGTGGCTGAAGCCCATTAGCAGGTGGAGTGCCTGTACGGAAAGGGAGCACAGCATCACACCCATGGAGCACATTTTGGGTGCTCCAAAGCTCCTCCTCAGTGGGTATGATGAGGTGGGCTTCAAGAGCACTCTCCTCTCAACTAACGTGGCTGCCCTGAGCACAACCAAGGACCCACCAGTTACACCTGACAGCATAAATGCGCCAAAATCCCACTGTTGGTGAAAGCAGCAAGCAGCAAGTAAAGGTTTCCTGCTAAAAGCCAGTTGTAAAACAACCCACAGATGAAAATAACACTTGCCACGCCATGCCATGCCCTCTCCAGCCACTCCCTGCCTTGCCGGTACCCCAGTGCCAGAGGAAAGTTTGTACTCACACTAACGATGGTGGAGACGAAGAGGAGCACCAGCACGGTGACGTGGAGCACGATGATGCCCAGCAGCAAAAGCAGCATCTTGGCGGCGTTGGGGTATAGAACTGGAGGGGGAGACGGATGATGCTGAGTGTGTGTGTGTGCCCGGCTCCGGGGGGCGGCAGG